TTCTAATATTTCAACAACGCTAGGCGGCGGTGTTGACAAAATGTGCCTCCCCACTGGCTGCGTAAGGCCACTCTTGGCTAGATCATCAGCCACCAAATTCTGGCTGCGACAGATATGACCTGTGGAGACAGTCCAGTTGAGATTCAACAACTTCCTAATTAGACTTTTCTGACTCCTAGATCCCAAGCTATTTGAAGCCCAAACAGAGCTCCCCACAACTCAGCTTCGAGGCTGGTACAAATGCCCACGTTTGCGGTAAAGCCAATCAGCCATTCCCCCTCACTGTTTCGGATCACTCCACCTGCCGCCGACTTACTGGTGGCACGAATGGTGGCGCCGTCCGAATTGATCTTAATCCAGTCCACTTGGGGTGGTTCCCAGCGTCGATGCTGCTTGGTGCGGCTGGGGTGGCTCAAACCGTGTGCAAAAATCCGGTTTGAGCGAGCTACTTCTTTAATCATAGCATGTGTAGAGCCTTTTAGGGCTCTTAAAGACAGCACTTCCTCACCAAATATCTCCTTATTTCTGGACTGCCAGAGCTTCCAACAGCCAATGCCGAACCAGAGCGACCACTCCTGCTGCTCCTGCAATACAGAGGATTTCAAGTTAGAGGTAAGCCATTTTTTGATATCCATTACGTACCAGAAGTCGTGCTCCAAGCTTGAGTTTAGGTCTCTCCAAAATTCTTTGCCTCTAACGCAATCCCTGAAGATGTGTAACAGGGTTTCCTCCCCTCCACAGAAGTGGCGCAGGAGTTGTCGTCCGCCAGATGCCTTCTCTTTCTTTCGACGTTTGTCATGAGAGCCCCCCTCATTAGCAGCCATAAAAACGTCTTGATCCTTTCCGGCCCTTTCCACTTCCAAATTAACAACCAATCTTTCTTCTCCTCCTCCCAGCCGCTTTCAGAAAGAAGTCGGTACGCTGAGTTGGCCGAGAATCTACCCGATTTTGTAAACATCCATACCGGCCTATCCGGTCCCTGATCACCGGCCGGAGGTGGTATCGCTCTAACTTCCTCAATTACCTCATCAGGTAGAAGCGGCGCTAGTTTGTTCCAGTCCCACTCTCCTGACGGCAGAACCGCATCAGCCACTTTCATGTCTCTTTCGGACGGGGGAATATCTTCCTTTGCAAGAAAGAGCAAAGGTCCTTCCGTGTGCACTCAGCGATCCTGCCAGAAACGTATCCGTTTGCCATCATTAACAATCCAACGTGCTCCCCCCACCGCCACTTGCCAAAGCTTTGCTATTTGCTTCCAGGCACATGTGGCTTTGGGTCTGGAGATGTCTGCCGGGACTGTTACCAAATTCACCTCATACTTGGCTTTAAATACTTCCTTCCACAGTGATGGTTCTTCTGAAATTAGACCCCACGCGAACTTGAGCATTAATGCTATGTTAAATTACATCTATCCTCAGCCCCAGACCTCCTCTCTCCTTCGGTTGGCATACCTTATTCCATCCCACCAAGCTCAACTTCTTATTCCCTTCCATTGAGCCCTACAAAAAGTCCCGACATACTTTATCGAACTCCTCACAGATCCCTTTTGGTAGTACAGCCGACTGCATTAGGTATATGGGGATAGAGGAGAGCACTGATTGACATAAAACAAGTCTACCTGCCATCGATATTCTCCTTGGGTTCCATCTTTCAGCTCTCTTCCTTGCCTTTGTCACCCACTCTTTGTATAGACTCTTTGTAACCCTGCCATGTATCATTGGCGTTCCCAAATATTTTTCAAGATTATCTACTCGCTGAATACCACACAACGTACTTAGATGTTCCGCTTGTGCAAGCACAATATTAGGAGAGATATACAAAACCGACTTCTCCTGGCTAATAGTTTGGCCCGACGCCACACAAAAATCCTGAAGGACCTTGCCAATCACTGTAACCTGTTCCTCATCTGCTTCTGCGAACAGGATAAGGTCGTCCGCGAAAAGAAGATGAGAGAGTCCCACCCAACGAACGAAGCGAAGTGAAGTCAAAAACCAAACCAAAGTGGTTTCCACCTGCCCCTTTCGACTTCCGTATTGATGGCTTGAGATAACCGTTCCATAGCCATTACAAAAAGATATGGGGAGACGGGATCTCCCTGACGAACACCCATGGAGGGTTTAAACTCATCCCCTATAACACCATCCCACAGGACTTGAGTGGTGCCCGTGTTAAGTGAGCTCATTACCACCTGTCTAAGAACCATCGGTATTCCCGCATCTTGCAGTGTATCATCCAGAAAATCCCAGCTGAGCTTATCATAAGCTTTAACCAGATCAATTTTAAGTGCCAAATAACCCTTACGACCTTTCATTTCTCGCATTGTGTGCACCGCTTCCTGCGCAATTACGATGTTATCAATAATGCTCCTTCCTGTCACAAAGCTGGACTGAGACGGACTGATCAAGGTTGGCATTACCCCCGGCAGCCTGTTCGCCACCACCTTGGATATAATTTTAGCAGACACGTTTATCAAGCTGATTGGTCGCAAGTTTTGGAATCTCTCTGGATTCTTGACTTTAGGGATTAGAACCACTAAGGCTTTATTAATTCTCGGGTCCACCCATCCCTTATGGAAGGCTTCCCGAACCAGCCTGCAAACCGAGTTACCAACAATTTTCCAGTTCTGCTGGAAGAAACTTGCATTGAAACCGTCCACCCCTGCCGCCTTGAATCTGTTCATCTCCCCTAGCGCCGCCCTAACCTCTTCATCTGAAACTTCTCTGGTTAGCATTAACTTGGTGGACGCACTCAGTAATGGAAACCGCCCCCTGATGCCATAATCTCTACTACCCGAATTCGGCCCTTACTAGACATTTCTGAAAAAGTTCGTCGCTTCTTCCCCCAGTCTTCGTACATCCGACACCCACGATCCATCTTCCAGTTGTATTGCCCTGATCTTCAAACCCTTCCTCTTATCCTTGAACTTCGAATGAAAATGTTTCGTGTTGCGATCACCTTGCGACAGCCACACCGCTCTTGCATTCTGAGTTCTAAGTAGGTCTTCCTGAGAAACCGTGGCCTCATATTCCTCCCTCAGTCTTGTTTCCAACTGCATTAGCCTCTTAGAGTGATGGATTGCCAAGGCGCGATGACAATTGCCCTAATCGAGCCAACAATTTCTTTTTCCTCTTGTTGATGTCACCAAAAATCTTGTATTTCCAATCATTGATGTTTGCTGTGAGCTTCCATATTGCCTCCGGGAATTCAAGGTCATTATTCCAGTTGGCTGTCAGCCAATCTTCCCACTTATCATGGGCTTCCCATGCCGCCCAGTACTTAAAGAAACCTCCTCTCTTCGGTAAATTGACTCTCCCGCGGAAGCTTATCAGCAAGGGAGAATGATCAGACATAGCTCTAGGCAGATGTTTAACTACCGTTTTACCAAACAGAGTGTCCCATTTCTCATTCACAAGAGCTCTATCTAAACGTTCGTGCACCCGCCCCCATTTCCATGTAAAACGAGACCCCTCAAAGCCCAAATCCATCATTCCAGCCCTTACAATCCATTCCCTGAACCTACTGCACCCAGTTGATCGACGGCCACCTATCTTGTCCGCCTCACTTGTGAATGCGTTAAAATCTCCGAAAACCAACCACGGTTGATCAGCTGCACCTGCAAAACAGTTTCACTTTTCCCACAGTAGTCTTCTGGTCAGCCCTTGCGGGCTGCCGTAAACTGCGGTCAATAGACACGGAAAGTGATTTTGGAAACAGACTCTCATGTGCATATACTGCCAATCATTTTGAATTATTTCAACAGATATACTATCACTCCAGAGTACCCAGATACCCCCCGAATACCCCACTGACTCGATCCTATGATCATTCTCAAGGCCTAAACATTCAACAATACGATTAGCATCCTGGCCACTAACACGGGGTTCAAAGATTGCAACAATTTGTGGTTTATAATTCCTGATCTTTTCTTTTAACATAGCAACTGTCCCTTGGTTTGCCAAACCTCGGCAATTCCAGGCAATAATTTTGATATCCATTAATTACACTTTAGAAGGGATGGAACTCACTTACCGGCGTCCGGTAATTGTTCCATATCGGTGTTGGACCAGTGACGTTCTCCCGCCACTCTCCGTTGGTCTTCCACCGTCTCTCCGCCTTCCAAATCGGTAACTGCTTCCATCTCTTCATCGGTACCGGGTGGATCCCTTTCACTCCCATACTGAATCTTCAACTTAGGTTTGAGGTGAAAGGCCCGATTTAGGTCGGGTGGCTTGTCTTCGACCAGTATGACGTTTGACGACTGTACTGGACTGGAAGCAAGTGTTGTTTTAGGTTTGGGTGGGTTGGGATGAGGTAGCCGCACTGCTGTGTGCTTCAGATTTTGGACGGCGGTACTCCTCAGATCGATTGTTTCCGGCTCCGATGCTTTCTCTGGAGCTGGGATCTGGTCGTTTGCTACTGATAAGGTTGTCTTTTGGTCTGAAAGGGGGGTACCATGTTCGATAACAGGATTCAGGCCATTAGTGGTCATGGTGCATTGGGGATCACAAAGGGCTATCTCCTGGGTATTGGTTTTGGGCTGGGAAGGTTTTTTAGTCCACGTTTTGTCATGGGTTGCCACAGTCGATTTGCGTTTACCTATTCTGGTAATGGGGCTCTGTTTTCTTCCTTTTGGGCCTGCTGCGCCCCTGTCTGGTTCTGGGCCCGTTCCTGCCGAGAAACTACAAGATGGGTCAGTAATAAAAGAAGTATTCGGAGTTGGGCTTACCTTCCACTTCCCGAAAGGCTCTTGATCCATTTCTGCCAATGGTGCAAATGGATTCGATGGTGACTGTTGGGTTCTCGTTTGTTTTCCATAAGTGCTGGACTTGTGGTTAGCCATCTGATTATTGATATTATTAGCCATCCTCCTCCCACGTTTCTGCGCGTGACTCCACTCTCCCATGTTGGGGCATTGTTGGTGTTGCATCGGTAGCCGCACTGCTCTTTCCCAACTTGCGTCGACCGTTGAAGGAGACTGAGACACCAGGGGTCCCGCCTGACGATTGTCCGTTGCGTCTGAAGGTGAGGCGTTAGTGTGGTCCACGATTCCCGGTGTCCCCTCCGGTTTACCCCTTGTAGTTTCCGCTGGGTTCTCCGGTGGGTGCTCCGACGGGATCGCCGGCGTTTCCTTACACTCCTCTTGAATGTGGCCATATTTTCCACACCCGTAGCAGATTCTTCGCAGATCTTCGTATTCGACAGTGTAAGGCTTTCCATCAACCTTGACTTTGCCGACCAACGGTTTCGTTAGATCCAACTCCACAGCTAATCGGGCATACCTTCCCCTTTCCACCCTTAAGGTGTTGTTGTCCGCTTTCATGTACCTGCCAATGGGTTGTGCAATATCTCTGAGCAGGTCCTCATGAAAGTAATGAATCGGCAGCCCCGGAATCCTGATCCACGTTGCTACTGCTGTTAGGTTCTCGGCTTTGGGATCGAAATTGATAGACCAAGGTAGAACTGTGATATAATGATCTACGATGGTCCATGGTCCGTTGAGAAGCGCATTTTGGTAATCCTCCTCATTAGTGAGTCGGATTATGTGGTATCCGTCAACTGAATCCACCAGATTGATTTTGCCTTTTGGTTTCCAAAGAGCAGACACCCTTTTCTCAATAGCCAGGAAACTGAAATTCCGCCCCAAGGGCCTTACCACCAGGGAGTATGACATTGCGTATTCCATCTTCTTTTTGATTCTGTCAGCGAAGTTGACTGCAGGCATACCATCCTCAATTGTGTACGTGACGTCGCCGGGTTCCGTCCGGACGGTATCATGGTGAAATCCCTTGCTATTGGCTCCTGGATTGTTCTGAAGGAGAGACTCCTTGAATGATGGGATATTCGCCCTATTTACTTCTGTGCTGTTTTCAATTGGGGACTCTTCTGCTAGATCTGGGCTTGGATTCAATGCCTCCTCTCTATTACGAACCTTTTTCGTGGCTGGATTTCCGCTGTCTTGATCCATTAGAATTGGTTCCTCTGTCGTAATTGATGGAGCAGAGGAAGTAGTGCGATTTGTTACCGAAAGAGTTGTTCCACAGAGACTTTACTCGAAGTCGAAAGAGAATCGCTACATCAACATCAGCCGCTGCCACTGGCACTTCTCTGATCGATCTGGTACACCTGCCAATACTACTTATTAGTCGAGCGGAGGTCAATTATATCTCCCCAACTTTAGAAGCAAAGCGAAGTGAAGTCATAAAAAAAAAAGTAAGAGAAAGATAAGAACAAGCGTTTGAAGCTATCAAATAGGCCTTTGAAAGGAAGAATTTGTATAGAAGCGAAAGGCCAGCAACTGAGGTTGTTAAGTAGTCTATCTCACCTTACTAAACATCACTTAAATCAGAATCCGCTTTCCCTGACCTTACTCTTTTTTTCTTTCTTTGGAAGGCGAGGGGGCCCGGCAGGGAGTAAGCAAATCAGTCCTCAACTGCTGACTGTGCCTACTTGCTTTCATGACTGGCTAATCCGAGTAAGAGTTCTTTCCTTCAAGGATTTCACTCGATGCTTCATTCATGTCTTAAGGGAATTCTATTCAACTATAAATATCGTAAGAAGAGATAGATAGAAAGAAAATAGGCAGAGAGAGCTTGCAAGCAAAGGTTTGATTCACAATCTGATTCGTGAAACCGAGCAATAATTGACATTTTTCATCATTTTGCCATATAGTCAGATGAAAAAAATGCTTCTAAATTACATCTATCCTCCATTCGTGAATTGGGCTTTGATAGTTTTCGCCTATAGCGTTATGGAAATTTTTCAATTCGATCTTCCGTGAAATCGGGCTTGGTATCTTTCTCCGCTAAGGCCAGCTGCAAAAATGCAATTCGAAATTTGATTAGGGAAAATGGCTTGCAACCAAACGGGAAAGAGCAAAAAGTAAAATTAGAGAGGAGGAATGGCGTCAACTTTCGCTCCCGAATTTCAAGTGTTACACGGAACACTAACTGAAGATGTCAGCCTATTATTAAAATAAGGTACGTAGTCGCTATAGTGAAAGGACAGAAAAAGTCTTTTTTCATCATTTCTCTATGACTGAACTTCGCTTCGAAAAGTTCGTTGGGGAGAGGTAATTGACCTGCCCTATCAACTACGCCTACACTCGCAGGAAGGAAACTGGCTGACCTCCACTCAAATAGTACTCGCCTATGTAGCCTTACGCCCTAGAAAAGACTCCGACAATGGGACTACTATCGCTTTCCCCAGAGCATGTGTAACAATTCTTTCAAGCAAAGCACTAGGGTCGACGAAGTTGAGGCTGCTATAATGCGTGATTTTGCGCGCTCAGTCGATCGGGTGGGAGTTTGAACATCAATTGCGTAGCCCCAAGGATGCCATTTTTGTCCATAGAAAAAAGGTTTCGTCAGTCGGTCTGAGAAAGAAAAGAAGATTTTTGTTAGCACATAAAAAAGTAACTAAAGACGCGATAAAGGCCTCCAAGTAGGGCATTGAGAAAAGGAATTGTTGGAGGGATATCTATTTTTTCTCATTTTATGAAGGCCAATAACTGACCCATGAGCGAAGGATGGTCTGCTTCTACTCCGACGATGCAACAACGGCATTTCATGAGATTGAAAGATAAGATAGGGTCACAGGACTTCTTTATCAAAGCATTTTCGGGTGACGGCTGAAGGTACGAGTCCGAACAGCGGAAAGCTAAAAATAGCCAAAAGCTACTCGTGCGCGGGAAGATGGGCGGCAGAAGACTCCTTCTCTTAGCTTAGGTCAATCGCAAGGTCTGAGCCCTGGAACTACCTATCTTCAGTAAGAATCTCCGCTTTAAAGATTGAGGGGCGATCACATTCGTAGATTCCCCCGCCCAGGAAATCGAGTCAGGGACGAAAGAAGGAGTTTCGCCGCTTCCTTCGCTGGGACATGACGGTCAGCCGCATCTGCAGTTGAAGCAGTGGAAGGACCGAGCCCTTCTGCTGGTCTTTCGTCCATTGCCTATGGTCTCCGGTAAGTAATCTATAGTTCACTTTCGTCTATGGCCTGCCCCGCTCTCTTTTCAACTTAGTTATTAGTACTTCGGAGTGGTGCATACTCTCCTGCTTGGCTATTGAATGAATCTTATGCTTGTCAGGTCCACTCCTCTGTCTTCTCTTGCCTATCGTCCACTTCGGTGACTCCAACCCCGGAAAGATGATCTCTTCCACTAACCTCTTCCCATGAACTTCCGGAGTCCCTATCTAATAGTCACCCCCCTCCCTTACTGACTAGGGCTAAAACCAAAAGCGCAAGAAGTTCTCACATGAATAGACGTTTGAATATTCGCTCAGTACTTGAACCTTCGATCACTCGGATTCGTCGTTCACTTTCTCAAACCGACGAAGCCTACTCGAACTTCGTATTCCCTGCCACTATACCTGAATGAAGGAAACTAATAGCTAGAAAAACAGGCTAAAACATCTAAGGCATAACATGAACCGAGGAATCCAACCAAATAGGAATGAATAGGCATGTGGGAACAGCATTGCTTGCATTGATTCAATTGATTTGAAGCGGCGGTTATACTATACATACAGACATAGTTTGAACTAGGGTCGATGTAATTGAGAGTTGGTCAGAAGCAACCTCAGCAGAAACTCTTCCAGAGTCTCGTCCATCGTCTGCTTAGGCGACTATTTAATAGCCTTTAGATCTTCCTGTGAGTTAGGCCCCGAATACTCTAATCTAATAGGCTAGGCTCAGTCCTCCTTCCTCTATGACTTCACTTCGCTTCGTTCGTACCCCCGAATTCCATTATCAAGAAGTGTATCCACGGCTTCTTGTACTAATTTCTTTCTCCTGACACATTACTAATTCTCCTGGCGTAGATCTACTTGTTGTTAATAGATCGGTAAGAGTATTGTTCCGATAGATAACTCTTCTATAGAGTTAATTAATATCCGAGCTCATTAATTTACCCCCCTGAATGATGGGTCTTAACTCAGTAGGAAGAACTGGTAATAGACACAAAACCTTCTATATTTGTTCGAAGAAAATGCTTAGCTTATCTACGCTATTTATTTAGTTTCCTCCCGGAAGTAGCTTTCTCTAATAAGATCGGCAGAGGGGAGATGGTTGATAGCTTAGGGTCCGAAGGAGAATTTGGGGCTTAATTAAAGCACCTCTCCTTTTAGTCGAGCATCTTCAAACCTTATTCTGAATGTCTTTTCTATGTGAGTGTAACTGTGAAGAGAGAGGTTTCTCAATTACATGGATCCTCATCCACCATGAAGTCAACTCAGGAAGAGTAAGATCTTTGATGGTTGCTCATCTGAATATAGCTCCAGGAAGAACTTCTGTACTAAAAAAAAGGATTGAATTTGGAAAACCAATGATCCGATTCGTCGCTACGCGTACGGGTACTGAACAGCTCCTTTGCCCCTACGCGACATCGGCGCATCACATCCCGTAGCAACATCTCAGCAACGGTTAACTCACCATCAGTCCCATCACTCTATCTACTCCCCTCCCTATGTCCTATGACCAGAATCTAACTCAATAACAGGGGCTGATACTAGTCCAGCAATGGCTATTGAGCAGCCTTATCCGTGGCCTTATAGGCGACAATCATTCCCCATGGAAGCTTGGGAGGCCCTAGGAAAGGACGGAGCGTCGATGACTTCTGGGCAAAGATTTCCAACTTTCCTCTCCCAAAGGTCGTCAATTGCATCGAACCTCAGACTCTGTCGCCGCCTTTCTCTCACCGCTAACGTAGTTCTAGCTTTCTTCAACAGGACTTTGACCAGGAAAGCATCTATCTCGAAAGAATAGGACTCAATAATGGTAGGCTCTTCTGGCGAAGTACTAAGAAGCTTTAGCCACCAGTAGCCAACTTCGGACCTTCAAACGACTACTTTTACCCCAATTCAGTCTATCCGTTCTCACGCAATTCTTAGCTGCCCTTTCGCTCTGGAAGGAAAGGTATAGTTAGGTCTGAAAACGGACTATCAATCACATGCATTAAGATAGCAAATGTTCACCTTATCCTTAGCGGAATGTCTGTTATCAATGGAACTCCTAACTGACTGAGACCAATATTGAGCCTAGCTCTTCAAAAGGAGAAGGGAGCAAGCAAGCTATGAGAGAGCGGAATTCTCCTGCTATGCGATAGAGTCCCAATCAAGATCAGGAAGGACTTTGAAACTTCAAGCCTTTCGACTAAAGACGCAGACGATGAGGAAAAGTCTGCTTTAATAAAGTAGCTCGGGGGAAGCTTAAGACAGGACATCGGGGCGAAGGTATGAAGGTAGGGCAATGCAGCCCAGTCTAGTCTTCGGAGCTTTACGGAAAAACATGATATGATGGAGATAGATCCTTCGATCGCGCAGCCGGAGGACTTGACTAAGAGAATCTTGCTATCCAAAAGCTATGGAACCTAAGCTCATAGTAAGAGCCGAAGCAAGCTAGCTAGTAATATTTATTATCGACAGGAGTGATTCCTCGAAATGCCCTCTTATACGATTTAGCCAGTGAGCTGTCTGAAGCTGTACCCGGCCACGAGGGAATTAGACTCAAAGTAGCCCGCTGAACCCGTTATACCTGCCATAGCTCTCACTTCGCCCTTTGATTCGAGGGCGAGCCCTTTCGCCTTCTCTTTCTGCCATTCGTTACAATATGTGTATCCGGGAAGAGTTGTTTGGAAGCCTAGATCGGGGTACGGAGTTTTCTCTATTTTGGAAGAAAAGAAGCGGCTTGAATGAGTGAATTACTAAAGACATTGGCAGAAGGCAGCAAGTGCAGCGTAGAAGGCACCCGAAGGTTCGATGTAATTGACCAATCCTAAAAGCCTGGTCGGACAGATCCTATAGCTTTGCTCGGCTCTAGCAAAAGGGGATATGATATAAAGTAGAAAAAGGAGTTTGCGCCGGTGTGACCTTCTCCTCACCGATTGCTTTAAGGGCATGGCGGGAGGGTTGCCTCTTGTTCTCCCAGCTAGAAAGAGTAAGAGGTGCCCTTCCAGACGGGACCTTGCTCACCTTAGTCTCGGGAAAAGAAGATAATAAAAAGAACAGATTCTGCTAGGTCGGGGCGCTACTAGACGATAGAAAAAGGAGTTTATCATAGGCGAAAGAGGCCAAAAGTAGCTTCAAACGACCTCAATGTAATCGAACCTCTTTCTTGCAGAGAGGACAAAAGCTGGTCATACTGGTTTTCCCGATCCAGGGTTGCTAGGCTAAAAAGGATGATTTTACATGCGGGTACCACAAACCGATGCCTTCACACTTCGATATACTAAATAGAACAAGCCCTTCGTCGAACAACCCCTTTCTTAACCAAACCATTCATAAACGAATTTCAAGAACCGATCAGAAGTTCGCAGGTTTCAGTTGTCGTTCATGTCCTTTAACCTGAAATGTTGGTTCAAATCCAGCTCGTATACGAAAGAGAGGAATGGTTCGCGGCCCTTCAAGGCATTACGGTAGTGCTTCTCTCGAAAGAAGCAGCGAGGATCGATGTAATTGAGGAGAGCAAAGTGAGTCTCGACCATAGTACGAGGAGAGATTCAATCTTGACCAAACAAACTTTTCGAAGCGAAGTTCAGTCATAGAATAAAGAAGTCAAGGGAAGAGTTTGAAAGGCTCGATAGTTTTGACCTGGGGACTGATATTAAGAACGGCTTTTGGTCTTAGTATGTGGTACAGCATATAGAGTCGTGAGACGCTCTACTTCCTCTTGTTCAGTTATCGATTCGCTGGCTCGGGGGGACGCCCAGATGCTTTGCGAGACTGAAAGCTTCATTTTGTGTTCGGTTGCGTTATCTACCGCAAAGAGGGACTCCCCCTTTCTATTAGAACAGTGTTAGTTCGCTATTACTGCCGGTCAGGCCGACGAGAATGAAATTCTGATATTGCTATGTGCGCCAGCTTTGATCATATGCTTTGAGCCGAGTCGATGAGTTTGAATATTCGTGTACGTATGCCATGTAGATTGAAAAGGGAGTTGCCCTCACTGAAAGAGTCTAAATAGCACACCGGATGGATCATTCAATGGAAAGCCGAAGGTTCGATATAATTGACCTAGGGTGAGAGAAAGCGTCCTTTGTTGATACCTAGTGTACACCGACCGCCACCTACTGAAATGGATTAATAAACGTTGCTTTCTATTGCTTGTAGCGGCGTTGCTTCCTTTTGTTCACCGCGAATAATTCAATCTTGAGAAAGAAGGCCTTGTGGGGCATCTCCAGCCAAAGAAGGAAGATGGAAAGTCTTCTTTGTAGACTCGCACCGCTCACTTACGGTTTTATACAGAGGGGGTTTTATTGAAGGGCCATAAGTGAAGAATCAATATGCGTTGGTTCCAATCCGGATCTCGTTGTTTGGGTCTCGAGATTCTATTCTATGAAGGAGACAAAAGTCTTTTGATAGAAATGCTAATTAGTTTGGAGATAATAATCAAAACTTTAATAAAGACTTGTGCCCATTGTCCAAGATTCCTTTGTGGGACTTTATTTTTCTTCTTCCCCTCCCATTCAGGACAGAACTCATATGGTCTCTCTGAAGATTCAAAATACAGAAGAGGCCAATCAAGACAATATTGAAGCACGCGCCTTAGGACCGATCCCAGTGAAATAGGAAAACGAATCCGCGCGCTACCGACTAGTAGAGTCTCCTTCATCGATCGGAACAAAACTAGCAAAAGACACCTTGAGGGAGCTGCGCTATACATAAGACTAAGGGACCCAGGCTCTGCCCGAATGATACGATCAGCAACTTAAAGTACCCAAGCTATGTGATCAATAACTCTTCTCCGTTCCTTATGGTCCCCCGATTGAGAAAAGATCAATCAGCATCCGGCCACCCTTCTCTATGATAGACCAACCAGGTCACCTCCCACCCTGGATCTATACTATATGCTCTTCTCTTTCCTTTCTTTTCCTTCTTAGCGCTAAAGCTATATGCAACACTTCCCCAACCTTAGATATTGATTAGATTGAGGAGATAGTCAAAAAGACTTTATACGCTATGACCTTTCTTCTTGCAATTTCTAGTTACAGGGTGACGAAGGAACTCCTAAAAGAAATCTGTATCGTATATACCACTACCAAGGGGAAGGTAAAGAAACTTCTTGCTACTTAAACCACACAATCTCAAAAAAAAAAACAAAGAAAGTGGATCTCCTCCCTTCATCTATGAGAGACCTGGAAGGTCACCTCCCTGGCCTTCTCTTTCTCTTAGCTGCGACTTCCTCTCAACCTCAATTAGTTTTTTTTGGTTTGTGCTGTAATAATAAAGATGTTGCTATTCAAAGATGTGGCGAATCGTCAGTTCCGGAAACACTCACTTAACACTTTTTTATTCACACCGTCAATGAAGACAAAAGCAATTACCCGAGCATCGTATGTTGACACAGGGGGTGTCTAATATACAGAAAGAACCTGTTCATTTCTTCTCAAGTAGGATTCGAACCTACGACCAGTCAGTTAACAACCGACCCGCTCTACCACTGAGCTACTGAGGAAGAACTCCTCTTTCTCATAGTTTGATTTTCGAGTCGAGTCTCAACTATACGTATGTTCAACTTGTTTCAGGAGATCGACCCTCTATGACTTCACTTCGCTTCGCTTCTAAAGTTGGGATAAAGGATAAAAAAAGAAGATGGGACTAAGCGCATTCTCACTGGATTGACCTTTCCTGCCCACTAGAGGCCTTTACTTGTCTGCTTGTTTACTTTAAAATCCCTAGGACTAATCAACTAAAGGGTTACCCCGAGTGTGAAAGAAACGGTTATTCGCACCCCCTAGATCTTTCTTTAGTTTTCAATTCCGATTGTAAAGGTAGAAAGCAAGGTATGAATCCTTAGGAATCAGCCCCTGGTCCGAGAGCTATACTCAAAGAAGTTCCTTTTTTCGATTTCCAGGCCGACCTAAAAGTCCACCCGTGTGTTGACGACACATCTCGATCAATTCGTTCGTGCGGGGCGGCGAACAAAAGCGGGTGTTGGGTTAAGGTCTTACCGGGCAGGATCGATGTAACCCGGTTCAAATATGCTCGACCAAAGATAGAGGGACGAGGATAGATGTAATTTAGAAGCGAAGTGAAGTCACCTTTGGGAGAGGAACGAAGACCATAGTACGAGGGTTAAAGTTGCCAGGAGAGGGGAGAGGTAATTGAACGCATCGTGACGGAACGGAATGATAAGTAGAATCGGCAGCGGAGGATCGATGTAATTGAGAAGTCAATCTTCATCAAGACAAGACAGCTGACCGAGTCGAAACCTACTAAGTCTGACGAATGCCGTTCATGAGCTGGTAAAGTCGAGATCAATCAACTGGGATCGGATCGCCACACCCGGTGAAAAAGAAAAGAGTCGCTTTCCTTACTGACTGAGCACCTTCCCCATCTCTATTTGAGACAGATAGAGTTTTCACACAAACGCCTTGACTCGCCTATCCGAATCCTCTACTTTCCTTCTTCGTTCACCTGCCCGGTCTGGTTCACCTTACCCGCTGGCTTGGACGAGTACAGTTCACTGATTTGAATCACTTAAACTAAAGCTCTGATATCCGTAGTACTTCACTTCTTACTCGTCACAGTCAAAATCCCGTGGATTACTGACTTGAACTAGCACTTGCTGCTATTCACTCAGCAGACGATCAGGCGAGATGCTAATTAGAGAAGGACTGACCGGACCTGCCTTCCCGAAAAGCAAGCACGAGCATACAGATTCGTAGTGTTCGTTCGGAGATTCCACTCGGGAAAGCAACTTACGTCTATATTCTTTGTCTTGAATCACAGAGGAAGGACAAGAGCTCGGACAACAACTATCACAACTGAAAATGCGAGAACTACTTACTAGCTATCTGACAGTAGTGAAGATATGCGAAAGAGGGATTCTGCTACGGAATCGGATATTGCTGTAGTTGATGAAAGAGCTGTAGTGAGTTAGGTACCGCAGGCTATTCCAACATTTCGGAGAACCACTTTACATTGGCATCTTGGCCGGGTGGATCCGTCCCACTCTCCGGACCTCACCTCTGCTTTTTTGGAGTACGGGATGACTCGGAGGGGAAGATAGAACAGAACCTGTCAATTACGCCTTTAGGGCAATTATCATCGCACCTTAGCTGGTTCCCGATCCTCCTCCAAAAGTTCGACCAATCGTTCGAGCTGGAACCCGCCAGGGATACGCATCCTTTCCAGCTCCCTCAACCGACTGACTCAGTCGGCCAGGTATTGGTTTCACACCTTAGAAATCCGCGGTCGGTGTGAGTAAACATTTCATTTCGTTATTCACATCAAAACAATAACGAACCCTAGGATACCAAAGAGTGCAAAAGGACTTACCCATCCACAGTGGCAATTCTGACATCGTTTGATACCAGGAATGCAACTCGTATGGGAATGCCCGAAAAAAGGAGCGAGCCGTCTTACGACGATTCGGACCCCATCGGACAAAAGACCTCTTGGTTGCCGTAGCCTTCCAAGTAGGATTCCATGTCATTCCCTGAAAAAAATGAATGCATGCAATCTCTGGGACATACCTCGTGAACAATTGAGGGACACCTTTTCAAATATCTCAACAGCTCCCGTCATAACGTGAAACGTACTGGCAGGTTTCGAGACAATGCTTGAATTGAAAAGGTCTGCTTATTTACCCACCCGCTTTGCTAATCGAATGATCTTCGAAATCAAAATTGAATAGTAAACGCAGATAAAAAGCACCTAACAAGCAGGTCCTCTGTGCTATCACCTTGCGAGGGAGGTATGATCCGAGGTAGCCCAGTCCTTGCGAGGGAAATGGGAACAGAGAACTCCTTAGGACATGATTCTTTCTCAACAGGTGCATCCAGTAGGAATTGAACCTACGAATTCGCCAATGTTGAGTTGGGGCGCTTTAACCATTCAGCCATGGATGCAAAAAGACTCAGCGAGTGAATAGGTTTTGGTGTTGCTTCTCGAGCTTCTATTTCTTCCTTTAAAGGAGATTCGAGAAAAGATGGAATAGGAAGACGTGTTTCCAGAACGAACAAGATAGGGGTTGATAAGGGGGAGTTAGCAAAGTTAGACAAGATTGGAATGGGCATAGAAAGATGTATTGATATATCAGATCGGCTAATGCTCCCAGGTTGATGCGATGTATTCCACCAGTTGACTGAAGACTTGATTATTGGTATATCGATCAGTCCAGCACGGATTGAAATAGGAGCCGGTTCGACAGAAAGCTTTTGAAAAAACAGTGCACCCAGGTAAATAAGGAACGAGATGAATACCGAGGTTAAACGAGCATCCCACACCCAAAAAGTGCCCCACATAGGTCTTCCCCGAAACCCCCCAGTAACTAAGGTAAACAACGTAGAAAAAGCACCCATTTCTGTACCGGTTCCGGAAGAACGAAGAAAAAGGGGATGTTTTGTTAATAGGAAGAAGAAAGTGTTTAGAGCCGTAGTGATATAAACAAGAATACTCATCCGAGCCGCAGGAACATGTACATACGGAATACGAGAATTTCCACCTTGTTGAAGATCTAGTGGTGCTACCCGAAGACTTAAATGAATAGCCATCGCTGTTAAGAACAACCGAGATCCAATGAGAATTTGCGCATAGCTTCTGGTCTTTGACATCAAAAAAGAAGGTTGTAATAATGAAACAGACATGTGAGAATTTGGTCCTAGCTAGTGGAACAAGAAAGACATGGATCTCTATTCAATACGCAATCAAAGGATTTCCCCCAACGAAGAAGTCCCCCTGCTTTGTTTTCGCTCCGCTCGTGCGTGGCACTCCTTGCTCGCGGGGCGGCATACCGAAAAAAGAAAGGTTTAGGAAAAAAAAGTGGATTCCCTTTTGTGACCAAGAGCCCATCTCGAATACGATGCAGTTAGGGTACTCGTGACTCTGCTGGTGGCTGCCACTGCCTCACACTTAAATGCCGCCAGCTCTGTCTTCCTACTTTTAAGGTAAGGCATCCGCGACCTGGTTGGTCCGTCCAAGCTTATACTGACGCACCATATCAATCAAACTTGGCAAGTTTGTCTTGCTTGCCATCGTCCCCGTTTTGGGGTGAGTTTTTTCTGGGTCAGGAAGTCACTCGTCGCCACATTATCCGTCTTGACCACGAATCGTGACCCGCCTCTACGTTCTCAAGTAGTGCACTCTTGCTTTCATCTCCTTCTCTTGGACCACGCCTCTCGGTCTCATTGAGCTTTCGGCTCTCATATGCTACTGGGTTACCTTATTGTACTAGCACACCGCCTATGGCATAGTCTGACGCATCCGTGTGTATTTCAAATGGCTTAGTGTGATCTGGCAACTGCAATACGGGGTCATCAATCACTGCCTGCTTTAGTTCCTCAAAAGCTCTTACTCTTCCGATCAGTGCAGTGGCATGATCGGTCCGTACGTCCTTCTTTAGTTTAGGAGATTTTTAAATTGAGCAGCCCTCTTCGAGTAACTTACGATGAATCTTCGGTAATAGTTCACGAGCCCTAAAAAGGATCTTAGCTCACTCACCTTGGTGGGTGCTTGCCACTCCTCGATGGCTCTGATGCCCATCCAATGCCCTAGGAATAGGATCTCCGTCGGTTCAAAGGAACATTTATCTTTCTTTACATAGAGGTGATTCTTCCAACATACCTTAATAAAGGGTCCGGAGGTGGCTAACGTGGTCGTTTAACGAATAGCTATAGCCCACGATTAAAGTATACCACCAGTCGTCTAAGTACGGGTGAAATAGCTCATTGTGGAGGGTGCAGAACGTGGCAGGGGCATTGGTGAGTCCAAAATAACCAGATCAAACGCCCCTTTATTAGGTTGGTTGCTTGCTTGTCACACGGGTCGTCTTTGGCTTGTCTCCTTCCGCGATACGCACCTGATAGTAGCCCGACTGTAGATCCAACTTCGAGAAGTATCTCGCCCTTCTTGATTAGGGCGAAGAAGTCTGCAATCAAAGTGGAAACTTGTTCTTGATGGTTAGGTTACCTTGTTGAGCGCCCGATAATCAATGCACAAGGCTCCCGCTTCTTCTGGAATAAAACAGGGGCTCCCCAACCTTTTCCCCAGCAATATAGGGAAAAACAAATAGCATGTTCAGCTGGAATAGAAATAGAAAAAGGCCTCAATGAGTTCCTGAAATTCTTTCCTGAGCTCAATCAATCCAATCCCCTTTAACTAATAGATATAGATGCTAGTTTGGGGGCCATCTGCTAAACCTAGCCCCAGTCTAAATAGTTGGGGGTTTGGCTCCAGGCTCCAACTCGATCTTGTGGTAGACTGCCCTCCTAGGGGGCACTCGGCAACTCACTCGTGGGGCATGATATTCCATAATTTCTCAAGTACTTGCTGCACTTTCTGAGAAAGAAGTCGTCTTGGTATTGGATCCAACTTTAGAAGCGAAGCGAAGTGAAGTCATAGAAACTTAGCATGAACATGAATTAGATTCTATTCATCTTCTTTATTCTTAAGAGAATTCCCCACCCGAACCTTTCTTAAGACCACCAAGCCCTCTCGAATGAGTTCTACTATAGAAGCTTTCAACGTACACCCAGGGACAAATCTTTCACTCACTGAGAAGTGAAAACCTGTAAGTCTTCAACACTTCCTTCTACTTCTACTTTTTCATTTTCTCTTCTCCTTAGTTCTTCTTCTACCGTTCATGCCCTGCACAAATTAGCCCTCGTAAGGTCTTTTTAGGCCGCATAGAAAAAGCTTCAACCCCCAGCTCTTGAGCTTGAGTTAATAGCCTATTTTCGGGCAAGGCAATAAGAGGAAGATAAGTTAAACCACTGATTCTATAGAGTATGGGTCGATCGACCTTTTTTCCATCGAAGTGATGACACTAGGAGTTGAGTTTAGAAGCTGCTTTACAGGAATCTCGTGTGTCTGCTGGTGCTGGAGCTAAGGATGCCCTTTTTTTTGTTTGTCTACTTCTGCTAGAGAAGAAAAGAAGTAGTAGGTAAATCCACTCTTTCACCCCCAGAGTTGCTGCTTTAGGAGCTACGAAAAAGTAGCTTATGTTGCTGGTTCTCACTTATATCCCTAACAGCTGGGTGAGCAGATACGTAAACATGACCAGAAAGACCAGGTTTTTCTTCTTCATAAGCTAAGCCAGTTGAGGAAGAGAACCCAACGAACGAAGCGAAGCGAAGTGAAGTCAAAGAGTCTTTGTTAAAGTCAGAGGTTTAGCTGTGTCGTGAATGGAGTCTTGCTAAGGATGCGTTAGTGGGAACTGGTGCTTCTTTGTGTGCAAGCCACTAAGACTAAGTCAGGCTTTTTCAAGGAATGAGAAATAGCGTTATTCGATAGCAGAAAGAAGGAACTCGTCTGCCCCGTAACTAAGAACCTTGCCTTCGAGAACAGAAAGGAAGATGTCCATCAATGTCATTTTCTTACTAATGAGATTGAATTACTAAGAGTGAATTCAAAGAAGAAAGGGATAAACCTACTCGCGGTACACATGATATATCTTATCTTTCTTGCTTTCATATCGAGAAGAAACTGGGACTAACGAAGATCAGTCTAACCTAATAGAATAGAATGAAATGTTTACGGAAGGAAAAGAAAGGAAAGGAAGCAAAGCAGTCCCTATACTGTTTAGAAAGACAAGCAAGCTATCTGTTAGCAGTAGTAGAGATATGAGCACTTAGAGGAAGTGAAGTAAGCAGTTACCTGGAAATCCTACTATAAGAATGACTTGACTTGTAAAGTTTGTAGCTAGAGGTCAGTCAATCAGGCATTCCACCTCGGATCCATCGTATGAAAGCAAAGCATCAGCAGGAGAAGCAGCATAGGAAGGTGAAGAGCACGCTTCCCTTTAGTAAGAGAATGATGAAAAATCTTCTTCTTTCTCTTTTACTTAGATGGCACCTTGGCGAGGTCAATTACATCGAGCCTGTTATTTTAGTTGCAAATGGCACCACTAAAAAAGCAGTTTGTGGAAACAGACATTTAGAAAGCAGAGTGAGAGACCCCTTCTCCAGGGGTGTGGGTGGGAAAGGAGCCATTGGAAGGTGCTTGCTCATCTGGCTAGGTACTGCCGGTACCTTATTGGTAGGTCTTTGAGTTGCCTCTTGGCTTAGTGCACTCGGAACAGAGCTTCAAGTAAGATCTTTGTGGAACATCTCTATAGCTAACCACCTCCCTTGGTTCCTTGAAAGCTTCAAACAGCACCATTGGCCGAAGCCTATATCCGTTGTTTGGGATTTCCCCTATGAGCCTGCCTTCATTGCATACGAAATCGAAATAACACTATGAAAAGTGTAGCCATCCGCTGGCCAACGCCCGTGCCCGGTATGTCATCAAAGGCACTTTCTCAATTGAATTAGTAGCCGATGCGGCTACATGCCAAGATGCGAGACTTCTCATGAAGAGAGAATCCCAGCTATGAAACTTATCATCGAGATGTTGGTTCCACATATCATACTTTTCAAACTTTGTAATGCTAGAAGTACCCCATGTGATCATTAGTGAGATGCTTTCAAGGGTCGATGTAATCTTTAGAAGTGAAGTCATAAAAGTTCTTTAGTAGCAGTAGCAGCATTCCCCTATCATATTAGTATTATAGATATCCTGTGAGTCTATATTACATATAATAGAGTTAGAGAAACTGCTGTTATAGGTAGTCGACTAATTTTTGTATGCAAGGGGTATAGAGGATAGATAGCTCTTAAACTATTAGTTGCTTTTTAGTCTTCACATGAAAGGTGCTATTAACTAGAAATAAGATCAAAAAGATCAGTACAAGCAAGACTTTTCTGTTTTTTCCTATTGTTATCTCAAGAGCGCACTCTATTATATGAATTGATAATAGGTTGGTTGACTCATTCTAGTAAGCAAGTCAAGCCCTTTTCAACTTCAACTGTTTCACTTTCCAATTTTTTGGATACTGGTGGTAGTTGCCCAAGGTAGTTTTCACTGTCGTAAGCAAGTCCAGTGCTATCGGTGAAAAGTGCCCCTTTCGCCGTCACCCATGGTACCGGTTCATATTTGGTTACCCGAAGCTCATGTAGAGGATAGAACTTGAACGAGGCCTTCCCGACTTTGCGTTCTAAAGCGCCTTCCGTTCGCCCCAACCGTTGTCAATCGTGACCTTACTTGACTTTCTCAACCCTGACCGACGACTAGCTTGCCTTTCGTTAGTTGTCTTCCATGCCCGGTTCAGTTCGCCCTTAGGATTTTAAGTTACGGGCTTCAATCCTCAATTTCATCGATCCTCCTCTACTGAGAGAAAGTTGTGGGTAGGACCCCGCCCGAGTGTTCTTCCCATTAATTCCCACTTTCACGTGGATGAGCCCTTTTCTCACCGACTTGGCTTTCTATTTGTTTGGCCGCGGCATTGATCAACTGTCTAGATCTCCCAATGTGACTCCTCATCTGGCTCCTCCTCACTTAGCTTTTCTGTGAGATAGTGGAAGGCCTTTTTTATTTTTGCTTCCCTTTCCCAGTGGGGTCCATTGCATAGGAAAGAATGAAGCTCACGTGGCAAAAGCCACCCTACCTTCCTTTCTTTTTTCCTGACGGGAAGGGTGGAAGACTGACCAGACAAGGGGTTTGGGATTCCGTGGAGAAAAGCAAGTGAAAAAGAAAGCTTGCTGTCTGTCCGCTGCGGTTCCAGGAGGAAGTCGCAAGAAAGAATTCATGTCTATTGAAGAACTCCTTCAAGGAAAAGTACATAGTACTGAGACAGCTGGAAATCCCATAAGGAAGGAAGCAATATCAGAGTAGGAGGATTGGCTTCTAACGATCTCATCCACTTTCAAAAAGGAGATGATCCTCAATTACATTGAAAGTAAAGTCTTCTTTCTAAAAAAAAGCGGGGCCATTAAAGATGGCAAACCCTTTTTTCTTGGGTGATCGATTCCCAAGCGAAGGAAGGAAAGCTCCGTCTTTTGTAGATAGAATCTTCAATGAGTGGAAACAAGCAACCCTTTTATTACTATTCTGTCTTTTCCTTCTGCCAAAAGTATTGGAAGCTTGCCAATGGCGCACACGCCACGTTTGAGGGTCGAGACTCACTTTTCTCGCTCGTCTGCGCATCGAACCTATTGATAGATAGCCCTGGGCCAATTACTGACGAGATTCTCACTCAGGAAAGTACACACCGCCTTCTAAAGACTCAATCAAGAACCAGAGAAACTGCAATCAACCTTAGTCAAAGACTCTCTGATTCGGTCGAGGTGGAGAAAAAGCACTCATGCCGAATCCTACCATAGGAAAAGAGGTTTCTCACAAAGATTGATTCAAAGACTGGGGTCGCTTCCTCTATATAGTAGACATCATCAAAGCCCTCGCAGCTCAACCATCTATTTTCGGCTTTTTGAGAGAATACGGACGGTGGGAGAGAACTCGAAGGGGAATTAATGGGAATGAACTAGAAAGTGTCGAAGCTTTCCGACCAGTCCTTCCTCCCTTTGTTGCTAGGGATTGGATCCGCTTATGGAAGAGAATCAGCCTTTCCGATAGGCTTTTTACCCAGTAGGAGAACTTCACCCCGATTCTACATGGGCGAGTGACGAAGAATTCCGTCAAGGAAGTGGTATCGAGAATTGACAATCCAAAACATGTGGATTATGAGATCTGGCTGGAGGTCAATTATATCCCTGTGAACATTCATTATCATATATGATATTTAACCATCATCACAACGAAAATAGTCTTTTGACCGTGAAAGGGACTGAACACCTTCTCTCACCTTTGAAAGATTGGCTTCAGTAACCTTCCCTCTCCAGAGATTGAACTTCGCTTCGTTCTTTGAGTCTCACTTCTTCTTCTCTCCTTTACAGTCTCAATTACATCTTTCCTTACTTTTTATTTAAAAGAATAGTTGGCATCCTTGAAGGCAGATCTGTCTTGACCTGCAGCCTATGATGATGAGTGGCCATCGGATTCACACAAAGAACCTAAAAGGCGAATCTGAGATGAGAAGTGTCAGCAAGCGTTCGAGCAGATCAAGGTTGATGAACCCGCTTGGTCCCGCCGCGACCAGGATCGATGAAATTGAGTGTACTTATCTGTTATAAAAGCGGCGATGGGCTGTATGTTAGCACAGATGGATGACGAGGGTCGACGATACGAAGACGCGAAAGGAGAGGGCTGTTTACTATTTTAGTAAGAGGATGTTGGCTTATGAGGTGCCCGGTTAAGAAGATGATACCGAATCCTCAAGGCATCCCTACGTAGTGTGGCTAGTCACTCTTGGCCAACTCCCTCCGGTCGAGTGGAACAAAGGCTCCCGGCCGATTTCAATAAGAAAGATATATGACCTTCCCATAGAAGCCCACGGAGCGGCCTCATGCTTGTAGCTTCTCTTCTTGCTACTCGCAACTAATAAAGAAATTGCTTTCTATAAGATCAAATCATCTCGTTCTCCTACTACGTCCTATTCGACCCAACGCTACATACCCGAACCAGCCCTCAGTCCTATATGAGAAGAATCTTTCTTACCTTTACAACCAAAATCTCTATGACTGAACTCAATTACCTCTCTCCTGCTTACTACATCTCTTTTTTCCTTCACTTCGCTTCTAAAGTTGGGAGGATTTTCTTTACTTTACCCTCTTTCACGAGTGAGAGCCTACCTTGTAAGAACCAAAGAAGGGGTACCGGCCTACCTATACCTTTGCTTTGACAGAGGAATGCTCCAATAACGAGGCCGCATATGAGTCCGTGATCGCAGAACTTGAGTTAGCCCTACAGATCCCGATTTCAGAACGTACAATATACGGGGACTCTTAATTGATAGTAAAATAACTCATAAGAGAATATGTAGTGAGAAAAGTCAGTCTCGTACCCAAGTGTATATCCCTTATTTGTTTGCTTAACACTCTTGATATTGAAAGCAGAGAACATTTTTTACCTCAGACTCTTCGAAGTCTCAATTACATCGAACCTCTCACTGCCGGTGGAGTAAGTACCTTTCGGTTGAGTTACCTTCGCGCCTATCCCTTCTATCGGAACTGGCTTTTCATTTCAACTGAGCCAAACTATAGAAAACTCTATAAGATAAAGAGACAGAAGAAAGAACCTACTTTGAATGAACGAGCTTTTGCTTACCTTTTCACTTGCCCTGTCGGCAACCATTCGTATGACAGTTTTCTAACCTTCTTTTCACCCATTCCCGGATCCTTTAGTAGTGAAATTTCCTATGTGGTATAATTCCTCACCGCGGGGTCCCGCGAAGACTGACGGCGAATCTCTTTACCCCAGCTTGCCTACCTGCCCCTCTGCTTTCGATGCACCGTAAGCCGGATATGAACTCCTGCAGTCTCTCGTTGCCGATGTGAAGTATGTTTATTCTCTCCGGTTAAAAGCTGAAGTCGGATGCAACTTAAGAAATTGAATAGGGAGAAAAAATAGATAGCAGATAAGCCGCTTTCAAGTTAAAGTCTCTTCTTCAGTCGGATGCGTAAGCTGAGCTAAATGGTTGCGGAGCTGTGTTAAAGCCTATTCTTTTTGTTGATGGAGTCGAAGCGAGGAGAAGCCAGCCGCTAGAAAGCAAAGAAGCAAGCTAAGCAAGGGACGGGGATGCTCTAGCTCTTTTTTACTCCTTTAGGTAATCTATCTTACGTACGGTTCGGAGATGGCTCAGTCTCCCGCCCAAGGAAAAGAAAGAGGCAAGTCAAGTCAGAAATGCCTTCCTTAATGGGTGAGGTGACAAAGTTGGCTCGACTAAAAGGAGAGGAAAGGTGTAATTGAGGAGAGAGAGAATGGAAAAGCTCTAGGCTCACCATAGCACTAAGACTCCAAGCCTGGCGGTAGGTCAATTATATCGGGTCTCGTGCGATCTCATGCGCGGCCATCATGTTGAGACACAAGGAACGCGAGGAAGAGAGCGACACGAAAAGGAAATCGCCCTCCGTACGGACTTGACAGCTTCAGCGTACAAGGACCCGGGCTGAGACCAGAACATAGAACACATCACTATAAGTCTCAGGAGGGGTCATCCCCGTGGTAGGAAACACGTCCTAGTTCCTTACCGCAAATTACCCGGCGTCACTCCTTATTCCTTACCCCAACCAATACCATGAAAGCCCTACCATTATCCATTCTATTTAAAAAAACGAAAGCCGGATGATCGCCGCTCAACTACTGCTTACTCTGTTTTCCTTAGCACCAATCTTCTCTCTTGGGGCACAAAGAAAGAAGCGACTGTGTCCAGGTC